GTTAATTTCACTGACCCCTAAATTTGTGTGACGTATCTTTTCCTTGATTTTAAACAATGAAATGCTTCAAATGACCACAAACCCACAGATATAATATAATCAACAACCATTCTATTTAACACATCTCAGCATTTTGCTCTACACGTTTCTTTCAGATGTATTATATTATGGATAACTGATTATAGATTTGAAGTCACCTTGTTATCATTTCTTGATCTAATTCCCATGTCTTAGTCCTCAGAGGAACTGTATTGGTTGCATTTTATGCTATTCCAACATATTTATTTATCCATAAGCAATATATACTATTGTCTCAAGTAGTTTTAAATTTCACATAAATGATATAATACTGTATGTATCATTTTCCAACTTGACTTTTTCATTCAATATTGTGTTTTAAAGATTTAAACAGATAGCTCTGATTTATTTTAACTAATGCAAACACTCCAGCATTTGAAATTACTATAATTTATGTATTCTCTTATTGACTATTAGGATAGTCTTATTTTTTTTTGCTATTACAAACAGTGCTGCAATTAGTTTCTTTTATATGTTCTGTGCAGTTGTATTAGATTGTCCCTAAGGATAAATATTTAAAAGTACAATTGCTGAGTTATAGGGCAAATGAATCTTGAGATTTACTGGCTACTAAATTGATTAGTCAAGTGGTTTTACCAATTTTTATTTCCATCAGCAGCATATGAAAATTGTTGCTTTTCCACATCCTTGCCAATATACTGCCAAAACTGCAGTGTCAAACTATTTGATTTTTGTTAATCTGATGTTATGAAATGTTATTTTATTTTATATTTCTCCCATTATTAGTGCTATTACAAGTTTCCTGAGGCCCTATAATCCCCTTTTACATTAAGATATTGGATAAGTAATGTATTCATATGTTCAAAAAATAAATATTTCAAAGTATATATCGAAAGGTGTTATTTCAACCCTACATCATTCAACCCACCTTGCTCTCATTTTATTGGTTTCTTATATATATTTCCAGTGTTTTTATGCAAATAGATGCAAACATGAATACATATTTTAATATTCTCCCCTTATACAAAAATAACATACTATGTAAATTGTTCTAAACCTTGCTTTTTCTACTTAACCATATATCCCGGAGTTCTATATCACTGTGTACTTTTTAACACCTATACAATATTCTACTTATAGGTGTAGCACAAGTTATTTAACTGGCCTTCTCTTGATGGATACTTTGGTCATTTGCACTCTATTGTTATTAAGACAATGCTGTAATGAATATCCTTGATCTTGTTCTGACTCATCTGTAGGATAAATTCTTGGAAGTGGGCCAGAAGATAAATGGTTTTATAATATTGATAGATATTTTGATCCATGTCACCAAATTAATTCCATGGATTGGGGGAAAATGGTACCATTTTGCATTCCCACTGTAGTGTATGAGAGTGCCTTCTCACCACAGCCTTGAAAACAAATTATGTTCTCAAACTTTTGGGTTTTTTTTTTTGCCAGTTTATGGGGAGAATGGTATATAAGTACATCTTCAGTTGTGTTTCTTTTATTAGGAGTAAAATTGAACATCTAAATAGGGGACCTTTGTATTTCTTTTTTTCACAATTCTATCCCATTCTTTTATTGGATTGTCTTATTGATTTCTAAGAGCTATTTATATATTTGGGGATTTACTTCTTTTGTCTCAGATACAAGTTGCAAATATTTTACCCAGTTTTTCTTTTGTTTTTGCTTATGAATTTTTGTTCCATGCAGAATTTCTTTTTTCTTTTTTATGTAATCACTTTTCTTAATCTTTTTTAGAGGGACCTGGGTTTTGAGTCACAGTCAGAAAACTTTAAAAGTTATAGAAAATTTGCAAAAACTCTAAAGTTATGTTGTTCTACTTTTATGGTTTCACATTGAACATTTAAATATTTGATTCTCTTGACTTTTATTCTGATGTTCTAATATCATTTTTCTACATGGCTACCAAGTTATCTCAATAGCACTTTTTTCTACAAAGTTCATTATTAAACCAATGATTTGAGAAACCCTTAGAAAACCCTTAACTATCATTTCTTGAAATATTGTCTTCGCATCATTATCTCTTTCCTCTCCTGAGTTTCCAGCTCAACACTTTTATATCATTTTACTCCATCTACCTATTCTTTTACCTATTCATTGTGCATTTTCCATGTATTTTAATTTTCTCCCATTGCCTTTTGTAGTTTCTGAACCAACTTTTATTTCACTAATTTTTTCATAAAATTAATAAAATTCTCATATTTCTAGAGATTTTAATTTTTAGGTTATTTTATTTTATTTTTTTAAGAGCCTAGAGTGTGGCTCTTTTTCAAATTTTCTAGTTTTTTATTTCCTATTCCTTGCGTATAATTAAGCTCATTCTTTGTTTCTTTAAATTACTAAATGTAATTGGTTTATATGATGATTCTGGTATCTGATTTTTGTGGATCTGTTTCTGTTTATCTTTTATCTGTAGGTTCTAACTTACAGAATGTTGTTTCTTTGCCTGCTTGGTTATGTTTGGCTATGTGGGTTGTTTGTTTTTTTTTTTTAAATAATCAAGTTTTGAAACTTTGGATACAGGTACCTTTCTCCAAAGAGAAATGAGTTGCTTCTTTCAGGTTTCTGAGGGCAAGGCCAGTCCACAACTTCTAAACTGAGGTTCTCTGCAAGGCACAGACAAATACAATATAATATTTAACTGTACTAGGGCTCGTCTACTTCCACTTCATCCTCATCTTGAGTACAGTCCCTTGAGGCTCAGATTATGGTGAGGAGAGTCTTTTTTTTTTTCCCCCTTAAGCTTCCCCTTCTGTAGGCTTAGGACTTTGATTTCTGTCTCTCCTGCCCTTACAAGAATGATAGCTCAAAATTACCAAGAGTGGTATACCCTCGGGTCAAAACATTCTTCCATGCTCAATTTTCTCTTTGGGTTCTGTTTTGGCCTGATAGTTTTGCATTATCATATGGCTCTGAAGTGCTTTTAAGAAGATGTTTATTCATCATTTGTTCAGATTTTTAAGTTATGTCTAGCAGGAAAGTCAGTTAACCTAAGTTATCATTGCTGAAAAAAGAAAATCACCCATGTCTCATTTTAAATAGTGCATTGGGCCAGACCTGCTTATGGTTACTTTAATTTCATTAAGAAAAGAACCATTTTGAAGAGAAAGTAGAAGTTGAGATGCAATGTAATTTTTAAGAAAATCTAGGCTTATTCTCAAAAGCCAGAAAGAAAATAATTATAAGTAGGCTACATAAAGACTAAGAACATTTATTCAGAAAGACATCATTAAGAAATTAAAAATCCAACAGAAAAAAGTTGCAACATATATGATAAAGAGCTAATTTTTATTATTAAAAAAATCTCACAAATCAATAAGCAAAAGATGAACTCAAAAGGAAAATGACCAACGCTATAATAGGCATCTCATAATAGGCATCTCACAGGGAAAAAAAAAAAAA